GGGGGGGGGGAGTAATAATGACTAATTGATTAACTACTGCCAATCCCTACTAAGATTTATTAGTACGGACACTTCAGTACTTGACTATGTTCTGATTGATTAATTGATTAATCTATAGAATCTTAAAAACTGGTTTGGGTATCAAGAGAACTGTAAACTACGAAGTGGAAACTAAATCTCAAGATCTGTCTGGAAACCAGTTCTACTCCCTAGCCCTAACCCTGGCAAACGAGGTAGGTTGACCCAGCTTACATCAACATTTTTGTTTGACATGGAGGTTGAGCTGAGAGTGCTATGCAGTATTGTAGAAATCATTTGAGACCTTTAAGAGGTTTGTACGGTGTATAACTGTAAAGTAAGAGCGCAAAAATCGATTTTAAAATCCTCCTGGCGCTCGCTTCCAGGCAGGTTGTGGCGCAGCACGGCTGCCCAGTATGTTGTGGCACGGAACGAATGCCCAGTATGTTGTGGCATGGAACGTGGCATGTTATAAAAATAGAAGTATTCCCGTCCAGGCCATAGTTTGATCTGATAATATAGTAGTGAACTGTACTTTTCAATAGTTATGTACTAATTATTAAATTGATTTGAATATAAAATCTAAAATAGTCCGTGGTATCGTATCCTGCACAATAAACTTAAATTGACGGATAAAGGACTTATTCTCAAATTTAAAAGTTGCAATAGTGAATATCGAGTTCAAGCTTTGCAAAAGAGTTCTGTTCTCCTTTTAGTTCAGAGCAATTAACCCTTTAGAGGAATTAACCTCTCCTATCTTACTTTTTTTCATTAGTGGAGTTTTAACATTTTAAATTAGAAAATGGGGGGGGGGGGAGAAGGGGAATAAATGATTTTTCAAGATAATACACAGCCCTGAATGTTGTTGTTGTTCAGGTGTTTCTGCCGAGCTTATCCCTGCTGCAATCCAACTGTTGTATTGCGGAGGAGATCTGGTCTCTTATCAGGTAGATTAGGATTCTTCTAGAGTAAATAAGTATCCCTCTATAGTAGATCAGGATTCTTCCACAGTAGATTAGGATCCTTATAGAGTAAATTGGTTCCTTCTAGAGTAAATTTGGTTCCTTCTAGAGTAGATTAGGATACTAATAGAGTAAATAAGTAGAGTAGATTAGGATTCTTCCACAGTAGATTAGGATCCTTATAGAGTAGATTAGGATCCTTATAGAGTAGATTAGGATCCTTCTATAGTAGATTAGGATCCTTAAAGAGTAGATTAGGATCCTTATAGAGTAGATTAGGATCTTTCCACAGTAGATTAGGATCCTTCCACAGTAGATTAGGTTCCTTCTAGAGTAGATTAGGATCCTTATAGAGTAGATTAGGCTCCTTCTAGAGTAGATTAGGATCCTTATAGAGTAGATTAGGATCTTTCCACAGTAGATTAGGATCTTTCCACAGTAGATTAGGATCCTTCCACAGTAGATAAGGTTCCTTCTAGAGTAGATTAGGTTCCTTCTAGAGTAGATTAGGCTCCTTCTAGAGTAGATTAGGTTCCTTCTAGAGTAGATTAGGTTACTTCTAGAGTAGATTAGGTTCCTTCTAGAGTAGATTAGGCTCCTTCTAGAGTATATTAGGTTCCTTCTAGAGTAGATTAGGTTCCTTCTAGAGTAGATTAGGATCCTTCTAAGTTCTAGAGTAGATTTTACCCTTACATTTACCGTCATTTTTAAAGATATATTTGACATTCTTACTTTTCAACTTATTCTTGAGTATGAACGGATCCTGTCTTACTTTTGAGTAGGAACTAATCCGATGTTACTTTACTTAATTTTCAACTTACTTTAAAAAGATCCGGTCTCTTTTTCAACTTACTTTGAAAAGATCCGGTCTCTTTTTCAACTTACTTTGAAAAGATCCGGTCTCTTTTTCAACTTACTTTGGTCTCTTTTTCAACTTACTTTGAAAAGATCCGGTCTCTTTTTCAACTTACTTTTACGTCTGAACAGATCTTTGGATCTTCTGCCAGTGGCAATATTGGACTAAACAAATGTTAGAATAAAAAATGTGAAAAATTTGCTTTTCCATCACTGCCAAATATAGGCAAAAAACCTGCCCGGTAATCCTAAATATTAAACCAGCAATTTATGCATCACCATTTTCAGGCACTTCCCGTATGCACACAGATACAGGCTTTATGACAGCTGGAAGGTAAGAAGTTTATTTTTCACTTTTAAAATTTTTATGACTTATATTAAAGGAAGTGTAAGCGTAATTTTAAGTGACCTTCTATAACAATATGGCATGCCCGATTTACAACGGTACCCTTTAAAGCTTTGGCTGTTCAAGGTTATAATGCAAAGAAAGTTATTTCAGAGGTGTACGCATCTTTTGTACTGCAGTTTACTGTATCTGGGTGGTAATGTAAGCACAGTACATATGTCACAGCCTGACCTGGGATCAATATTTCACATAAAAAATCAATGAAATATTCTGGTCATAGGAAACTATTATGTGAATTATCAAAATTTTCAAAATTCAATGCTTTTATCCTCCTTGGATACGAAAACGAACACTGATGCATCTATTCTTGTTTACAAATTCCGCCCAGATAGACCTGGTTTCAATATGTACGCAGAGTATACGCAACTGAAATAAACTTTCTTTGCATTATAACCTTGTGGCTGATCAAGTATGAAATAGATATGCATGATTTTGTTAATTCAAACTGTTTATTTTCATTTCTGGTTTCCCTGCTAAAGTGACTTGTGCATTTCTTGCTTATAAGGAATAATGGAGAAACACAGAATTAAACACTTCTCGATTCAGAAAAACAATGTTATCCTCCTCATTTTCGATCAGATTTAGGTTTCAGGCGTTCTGTTGTAAATCGGGCATTGCTATCTTTGCAGGGAGTCACTTGAAATATCGCTTACAGTCCCTTTAAGTGGAAGATATTTTTAATTATTGAGCTAAAATAAATATTATAAATCTTTTTATTTTTAGCGCTATTCTTCATGACATTATACATTTATATTTCCAGGGTGAGACAATGCTTAAGCACCCTGTTCTCATCCGAGCTAAGGCGAAGACGTTTGAGTCGATCAAGCGGATCATGAAGATGATGTCCAAGGAGAACGTGAAGCACACTGGCAGGCAGCTGGGTAAACTCAGTCATAGTTCACCAGCCCTTATATTCTCGTATATAATTCAACAGATTCAGGTTTAACTTCAATTACTATTATTTTTTGCCATAGTTTATCTAAGAATATGGAAAAATATATCGAATCTAAGAAATCTGTATATGCAGAGAAATTATATTTTTTACTTCCGTTTGAACAACATTTTATAAACTAAGGAACATCAAGACAGTGTTTATTTTGCAAAAATGTAAAATTATCTTTTTGTTATTTATTTTTTAATCCCTTAAAGGGTTACAACAGAAAATTTATTTTGTCTGTGTGCTAAAAGAAATAGCTTTTACATTACGCAATACGCATACTATTTTCATTACTTAAATTCAAGATTTTTTGTCAAAAAATTGTCATAAGAGTGCTTTTAAACCTGACAGTTCCTGATAATTTTCAATTTAATATTTAGGTCGCCGACAATCTGATAGGTTCTGATAATTATAAATTTAATATTTAGGTCGCCGACAATCGGATAGGTTCTGATAATTATCAATTTAATATTCAGGTCGCCGACAATCTGATAGGTTCTGAAAATTATAAATTTAATATTCAGGTCGCTGACAATCTGATAGGTTCTGATAATTATGAATTTAATATTTAGGTCGCCGACAATCGGATAGGTTCTGATAATTATAAATTTAATATTTAGGTCGCCGACAATCTTATAGGTTCTGATAATTATCAATGTAATATTTAGGTCCCCGACAATCTGATAGGTTCTGATAATTATCAATGTAATATTTAGGTCGCCGACAATCTGATAGGTTCTGATAATTATCAATTTAATATTCAGGTCGCCGACAATCTGATAGGTTCTGATAATTATAAATTTAATATTTAGGTCGCCGACAATCGGATAGGTTCTGATAATTATAAATTTAATATTTAGGTCGCCGACAATCTGATAGGTTCTGATAATTATTAATGTAATATCCAGGTCGCCGACAATCTGATAGGTTCTGATAATAATCAATGTATTATTTAGGTCGCCGACAATCTGATAGGTCCGGTCGTAGACTCCATTAAATACATGAGCAATCTTTCATTCGACGTCCTTGGGTTCTGCATCATCGAGAGCCTCAACGACCCGGACAAGAACAGGACAAAGACGGACGGAACCTCGATCTCGATGTGGTTGACGAATCTAGCTGTGTTCTGCGGCGCTGTGTTTAAGAAGTACAATATTGAGTTGACCGGCCTACTGCAGTACATTGCAAACCAGCTGAAGGCTAAACACAGTCTAGATCTTCTTATTGTGAAGGAGGTAAGGCTTTACTAAGTTTATATATTAATCGTAAAATCCCTCCCTCCCCCCCCTTTTCAGAAAATAGTTTTGACACTAAATTAGGAACCTATTGTTTAGAATTTAGATATTTCAAACTAAACTCTTTTCTATTTTTATTTTGGAAATATCAAAAGTTTACAAAGATATATGGATTGGAAAATTTGAGTTTGTAGCGGAAACTCATTCCTTTATTTGATGTTAAAGCCACCAGGTTGACAAATATTAATATTGAACTTCTTTGTTTTTTAAAATAGGTTGTTAACAAGATGGGAGGAATAGAAGCTTTTGAGGAGATGACCAAAGAGCAGCTAGAAGCAGTTTCAGGGGGTGAACTCCTTAGACAGGAGGCAGGCAACTTTAGCCAGGTATTAAACTCCTTAGACAGGAGGCAGACAACTATATCTAGGTGTTAAGCTCCTTAGACTCGAGGCAGACATCCAGGTATTAAGCTCCTTAGACTCGAGGCAGACATCCAGGTATTAAGCTCCTTAGACTGGAGACAGACAACTATAGCCAGGTATTAAGCTCCTTAGACTGGAGATTATTATTTTTATCATTATTATTATTTTTATTATCGTCATTATTATTTTTATCATTATTATTATTTTTATTATCGTCATTATTATTTTTATCATTATTATTATTATTTACTATTGTATATGTTTAAGGTTAAGAATACCCGTAAATCTAGTGGTAGACTGAAGGACTGTTTGATGGAGATGAATCTAGCTGTTCCTCTCGTCTTACTTATGGCACAGCAGGGTAGCTGTGTTGTCTATCAGGTCAGTGCACGGGTGCACGGGTGGAAAGATATAAATGTGCATTTATCTTTTATTTATTTAAGCATCAAATAAGTTTGACATTTCAAAGGTTTACAGTTTACACTATCAGGTTCCCAAGTTTTCTGTTTTAGAGATTAGAAAATTTGAGTTAGCGACAAAGGCTCAATTCCTTTGACATATTTTGTTTTAGCCAGTAAGATGAGTACCTCTTCAAGAATTGTTTTTATATTTGAACAAACATATGAAGTTCTGGTAATCTGAAGGAAATTTTACTTTACAATGTCCAAACTGAAACAATGGTTGGCGTTAAAGAACAATACAATGGAGACGTTTTCGAGTTAAGTTTTGATTTCTAACAAGTAAACAAAGAGAAGCAGTTAATTGACAGCTCCTCTTTGTTTTCATGTTTATTTGTATCCACCCTGTTTTGAAGTTAGGAAAAAAACAAAAATTGAAGTCGTCTTCATTATATGGATTTATACGATGACTGCTGTATTTCTTCAGGAAACAGAGAAGGATCATCTGAAGCTGGTTGGGAAGCTGTTTGATCAATGTCATGATACATTAGTTCAGTTTGCAACATTTCTAGCAACAAACCTCTCACAGGTAAAATATTGGGGAAATCTTTAACCTATCTCGATTGGGCTATTTTTGTCTAATATGGAGGGGGGGGGGGGGTTTTTCACCCAATGATTCTGCCTTTAGAGTTGAGATAGGGGAGTGTGATAATTGTCACAAGTCCAACTTTTCAAGGCCTACTCAATAAAAAAAACTTAGATCTCTAACTTTAATGATTAGGGTGCAAGGGAGGATTATAAAAACGTTCAAAAAGTACGTTGGACAAAGGTCAAAAATCATTATTTTTACTTTTGACAAATATTAACATGCGACACATTTTGGCATATCCATTTTTTCGAAGGCTTTTTAAATATATAAATTTTAGCCCTGTAGCTTCATTAATAATAAATTCATCAACCATTTCTTAGTTTTTTGAAACACCAACCCCCTGTTTGACCGTCCTCCACTTTGCATCGAAAAAAATAACAAAATTTGTTCAAAACTATCAAGTTAAAAAAGTGAAGAAGTTTTAGCCTTCTAATGTTTTTAAGTGATTTAGAAAAAGCAGAAGAAAGGGGTGAACAACATCCTCCCCTAATCGTGACAGGGTTAAAGGAACTGTTGACGTAATTTGAACTGACCTGCCGAACAAGAGCATACAACTTATTTGCAACCTTTCATAATGTTAACTGTTCCAACTTGAAATAGTCGGATTTCATCATAATTATTTTTTAATATAATTTCTTGGGTATGTGCTCATGGAACCTCACAAATATGATATAATATTAATCTTATGAGGATAATAATGATAATGATAATGATAATGAATGCCACAAACTATGTCAATATGTTAATATTATTCTGGTTTATTTTGAATTTGTTTAGGACGATTACTCCAAGATAATGAATCCTACAAACTATGCCAATATGTTAATATTATTCTGGTTTATTTTGAATTTGTTTAGGACGATTACTCCAAGATAATGCCCCCACTGCCTCAGCTTTTATCTGAGTTCTACGTAAACCCTGATATTGCGTTCTGTCTTGCAAGGTAACAAAATAAATTAATCAAAGCTAACAAAAACGGTCAAATGTCAAGTAGATCATTCTGGGAAGGAATTTGATTTTAGGTCGCTGAATTACTTACCACCGGTTCAGCGACTTTTCTAGTTCATTAAATTTGGACCATGTTAAAAAAAATCTATTTTCCCTCCAAATAATTTCTTTCTCATGTAAAAAAATTACTTAAAATGAAATTGGATGAAAACTAAATAAAATAGTTTTTTTAAAGAAAGAATAAATAAAATAATTTTTAATAAGATATATAAATGTAACTACAAATATCAACTCATAAAGTATGTTTTGAAATTTTTTAATATTTTTTTATTAACTTTTTTCTTTTATAAACATAATTATTATTTAAGAAATACTTTTTTTTGGCAAATTGACAGTTTTGCAGCTAAAATAGTAAATTATTTAGCATGATGTGTAAAATGTACACATTATCGGTCTCGACAACCACTGTATATATAGCATCGCTGGTTTGATATTGTAATATTGTAATAATTGACAGGTATTTAAAAATGGTAGCATGGCTCAAATTTTTCCTCGCCGCTGCTGAGATCTCTTTAAAGAGATTCGCAAACTTAAACCAAGTAACATTCCGTACAGCAGAAAAACCACATTGAGCGCTTAAAATTGATTGGAAATTCATGTGTAAGATGACGATCGGGCTGAAAATCCAGAAATTGGGAAGAAGTTGAGACTCTAACTCAAAGGAAGGATGACTCAAGCAATCCCTGTAAAATATTTGATTTGATTTGATTTGATTTGATTTGATTTGATTTGCAGGCCGATGTTTAATCATCTGATTAGCACAAAGTTTGAAGAATTAAGGAAAGCTGACAAACACTGGAGAGGAAAAACTTCCCAGGAGAAACAGGTCAGCCTATTTTTTTATAAAATTGGGACTTGGTCTTGATTTCTACGGAATGATGTTTCATGTTTTTAATTTTTTAATTGTTCTAACTTTTTATTTAAAAAAATTCAAATTTTGAATTCAAATTTTTATTCATTGATGAGGTTTTTATTTTTTAAATTTCTTATTTTTTTATTTTAATTTTTTTGTTGCATATTTAGGCTAAGCATGCTGAAGCAGCAAGGATGATAATGGAACCATTGACCGCTGCTATCACTCCTGTTTATCCCACCAAGGTAAGTTTATTGTTCACTTGAAGTCAACACTTTTAAATCTTGGGATCAAGTAATTGATTATCGTCTTATGCAGACCTTTGGATTAATTTATTTTTTTGATATTCCTAAGTGGTCTTTGGGAATCCAGCTTTTGTAGAAGATCCACTATCAAAAATATCAGTTTTTGAAATTATAAACATTGAAATCTAATGAATCGGGATTGGTCTTCTTTGCAAGGAGTATAGGGTCACTTGAAATTACGCTTCAAGTCCACATAAATGTTGTTTTCGTTTCCCCTTTAAGGCTAATTTTTAAAAGATGGAAAATGACTTTATGGGGAAAATTAAAGAGTTTAATTGCAAAACAAAATTGCACGATTGAAATCCAACCTTTTTTTTATTTTCTTCCCCTGAAGATTTAAGAAATTGTAAACATTTTTTTTTTGTAGATTTGGGATGATATCACCCCTCAGTTTCTGGCAACCTTCTGGTCTCTAACCATGTATGATCTGTATGTACCAGAGAAGATGTATCAGAAGAAAATCAGAGAACTCAAGGTATAATCAAAAGTTTTATATTGATGGATTGCGGGTTAGATGGTTTGATGGTTTGATGGTTTGATGGATTTTTGGTTATTTATTATCAGGACAGAAAATCACAGAACATAAGGTACCCGGGGGGGGGGGGGGGGGTTTTT